TAGAGGTGAAACTTGTATGGAAGCAAAAGCTAAAAATAAGATCACCAGGAAGAAAAGCACCTGGGGCACTTTTTTTTTTTTTTAAAAGACAAAGGTAGGTGTAGAGGGAGGGACAAAGCTCTGCTTCTGCTGTGATGTCACCCACCCCTTCCTCCTTCCCTTACTATATGTAGATTTAGTGGAAATCAAGTTAACTCATCCATAGCTAGGTTAATTCTTAACAAGCTGTGGAGAGGGGAAAAAAAGGTCACAACTAACAAGGGAGGAATGAGAACAAATATACCTAACTTAGACTTTGTTTCATTGGAAGAAATTGGAACTAAGGCGATCCCTTAATTACAAGGATTATCTTTTTAATGTACTTGTGACATTTTATGGAAAGGGAGATTAAATGGGGATTTTGTCCTCAGAGAACATTTACGTTCTCGACTACTAAGCATGTGGTCTAAGGATGGAATTCAGCTTGCTATAGATTTCAGCCAGTTACTGTTCTGGAGTTCAAGCTGGGACTTAAAAGCACTTCTGGCAAATCGAAAGTAATTTAAAACTAAATTAAAAAGAGGAGAATGATAAACAAAAGCATATAACATGCCTCTTACATTATTACACATTTGCAGAACAAAACAAAATGCAAGTTATTTATGATTATATCATGAATCTGTGATATTACTTTACTTTCAGTTGTCCAAATTAAGCGCCTTTTCATTTCTTTACCACTGGATAACTGCCCAGCTAACTTCATTATAGTTTCCTCTCTTGTCATTACCTGCAGTTGTATTTCCCAGCTATACTGAATATTTCAATGGAAGGACAGACATTTAGATAGTGTTTTTTATGGATCTTCTCTCCTTCCTACCTTTCCCCCTTGTCCCATACTTTCTACAAGCCTCACCAAATCCCTTTTCTGCATTCTCTCAGTCCTGAATACTCATCCTTTACTTCCTGCACTGTTAAGCCCACTTTTTTTTACCATGAAGTGCACATTAGGACAGTGTTTCTCAACTTTGGCAACCTGAAGTCCACACATCTTCAAGCCACCAAGGTTGTGAAACACAGCATTAGGATAATGTCTCTTAATGTCAGAAACATTCTTAATTCCAAGATATAGTCATGGAAAAGCTGGGCTTTCTGGTATACCTGGGAACTTATGACAGTGACTAGCAAGAACATCTAGGAAGGCAGAAATCAAAAAAGTCAAGATGGTAGCCATGGCTGTGAAATCATGCTGCCATCTTGCCTGGGATAACAGCTAGGAAGCATCTGTGGGACAAGAAAGAGAAATCTGATTAGACATGGACTAGAAATTCTTTTAAGATATTTGTGATGAGGCTGTGGTTGCATCCCTATACCTTTCAGTGTATAGCATTGGGTCAACTTGGTTGGAGTTTAACTTTGCATTGTTCTCTGTTATATGCCATCATGGATCAAGAACTCTCAGTGGATGAAATGTTACACACATATCAGATAAATCAAACTGCTCTCATCTGTCCAGACTTCAATGCTATTTTTATCTTAGGCACTACAGATGTCGTTCCAATAATCCCCATTATTTGCATAGTTTGGATATTTTCTGTCTGAGGGTCCCAACAGGTTATTTGAAGAAATGAGGCTCTTATCACTTGATAAGATTGATCCTTTTACTTACTAGCTCACAAGCATCTGTGAGGGAAGGTCAAAAAAGGCAAGAGGATGGACACAATCAGAACCCTACCCCTTTTTTTATATGTAACATGTACAACACTTGTAAAAAAGGAGGCACAAGGCTTCAGTTGCACAATTATGACCACCATCTTGACTTCTGACCCCCCCCCCCCCCCCAACTCTCCTGTCCTAGCTAGTTATTAAAGCACATGAGAAATGTTATCTTCTTCACTGGGAGAAATGATCATTATTCTTCTGAGAAGGCATAGCTCTTCATCATCTTGAAGGCAGCAATTGTATAATTGAACCTGAAATAATTTTTCAGGATTCTACAATTTGGCTAACTACTGATTGTTCCTCATGCTCCTTGTGGCTACAACCAGTAAGACCAGGAACTAGTCTCACACTGATTATCTTGATTCACATTCTGTGTCTGATTTTAGGACTCCAACTGATAGGTCAGGAGTGTGAAGCGGGGGGGGGGGGCACGGAGGGGAGCT